AGTGTCATTGAGCTGATCCAGTACATAGTGACTCAATCTACAAAGTAGAGTGGCTGCCCAGGGTTCCCTAGGTTCTATGTGATATTTATTTTTTAATTGAGATTTTAATGAAAGTTTATCAAGAACTTGGATTTCCATTCATTCATTGTTGCACTCTATGTGATATTTATGAGAGCAGATTGCCAGATCTTTTCTCTCATGGAGCCATTGGTGTGTTTGAACCTCCAAACATTTGGTTAGCAGCTGGGTACTGAACAATGGGACCATTTGGGTTTTTACAGTCATTATAGAAAATATGAACATAAAGAAATACATAAAATACATTCAACTGATACACCTTCTGCTGTTTCTGAGTCAGAAACTTCCCTAACTCAGTTCAACTCAACTCATTGTTACCTAGTAGAAACTGACTGAGAGCAGACCCTCCAGCAGGTTTTCAGAGGTAGTAAGCCACACTCAAGGTGATTGTCCATCTTTCTCCTGTGGAGCAGCTTGTGGATTTGAACCATGTGCCTTTGAGTTGATAGTATAACTCCCTATCCACTAGTACACCAGAGCTCCCTTCTCTGTTTTCCTAAAGTGGAGTAAAATGATGAATTCGAAAGAAGAATGATCTATGAGTGAATCCCAGCATATTAACCCCATGACCTCAGGCAACATTTAACAACCGGCTGGTACCAGGGTATACATCAAAACAGAAGGTGTATGGGTGGAGGTGGGGGGTGAAGGAAATGGCAAAGACCTGGTGTGAAAAACAATATATACGAACTTTGTAAATAAACCAGTTTTTTATTTTTCTTTCTTTTTAAAAAAAAAACACCCAAAACACAACAGAAGGTGTAATCCAGTTGCCTTTGGCGGGCTAACTAGTTTTATCAAATATGCCTTGTTTTGTTGTTTTCTGTTAAGTTGGAACAGACCCATAGCTGACCCTCCAATGTGTTTTCAGAGGCAGTAAATTGCACAGGAGGAGATTACCCATTCTTCTCCCATAGAGCAGCTGATGGCTTTGAACTGGGAGCTTTTGGATTGCAGTACAGCTTCTAACCACTAGGCCACCAGAGCTTTCCCACTTGGAGGATAACATCATTGCTACTTTTGAGTTTTCAACAAACTTCCTTAGTTTTTCCTATCTGTCCTTCGCAGCAAAAGAAATAATTGGATGACTGACGATGGAACTCAAGGTTCTTTTAATTTTTCTTCAAGATCTACAAGTGTTAGTCTCTCTACTTTTCTTTCTCAAGGCAATAGAATGATCTCTTTTCTTGGAAGTGAAGAAAGAAATGAACATGTAAACTCATGATCATGAGTCAGTAGATGGAGTGAGGGTCAGATAATACGGGCTCAAACTCATGAGCCTCCAATAGCTTCTTCATTGTTTGGCCCAGAGCCTGATCCCTGAAAGGTTCCATCACCCATTCTGCTCTTGATGTCTTTCATCTGCCACGTAGCAGCTCTCTACAGCATGTGATTCTGGAACTCTCCTTCCCCTTGCACACATTGTTCACTCGGTGTAGGAAACTATCCTCTTTTTTTCCCCCCTAATGACTCAAGTCAGAAACCATTGTTCTACCATTTAAGACAAACTATGCAGGGAGCTTTGGTGGCCTAGTGGCAAGAAGCTGCAACTACAATCCCAGAGGTGCACAGTTCGAATCCACCAGATGCTCTGCCGGGGAAGGAGGGGCACTCTCCTCCTGTACCAGTCAGATCTGATTTGACGGTACACGCACACAAAAATAATAAAAAAAATTTAAAAAGACAAACTATGCTTATTTATTCACTTCTCTTTTTTTGCGTTTCCGTGTTCAGTCACTCAGGACAGAGATCTGATCTTATTCAGCTTTGGAACAGCCTCAACTCCTAGCTCTCATGTTGCATACAGCACATGTTCAACAAAAGTTTTGCAAAATCCTCATCTTAGGTGTATGTACCAGATGCTAACATTTCCATGCCTCCTTGACCCAGCTACTCCCATAGCAAGGAGATGATCCAAAGAAAAGGAAATGACATCGGTGAAGATGCTATAAAATCTGTATTTACTATTTAAAACAAGTTAAAGTTTTATTGACAAAGCACTGATGACCAAATGACAGCATATTATGTCGATGGGATATGACTCATTCATCCCCTTAGTCATTAAACGTCAAGGAAAGAAAGCTGTTTGGGGTCTAATGTAAAGAGGAAAAAATGTAGACTATAAAACCGCCAGTTCATTATTACTCATTTCTATGTATGCATGGAAATAGGTTACCGCTGTTGTTATGTGCCGTTGAGTCGCCTGTAACCCACAGTGACTCTATGTACAGCAGCTCTGAACCCTGCCCTGTCCTGAGTCAGTCTCAATAATTCTGACACACCAAGCCCCATTGCCCCAATTACTATATCAATCCATCTCATTGGGGATCTTCCTTTCCTGAGCTCCCCCTCTAACCTTCTGGGCATGATGTCCTTCTCCAAAAACTGGTCGCTCCTGGCCACATGCCCAAAGTATGTGAGATGGAGCTTCAAAATCCTAGTCTCCAAGGAGAAACTTGATTTCACCCTCTCCTTGACAGTATGTTCAAGACTCTTCTCCAGCACCACAATTCGAAGACATTGATTCGTCTTCTGTCACCCTCAGTCATTGCCCAGCTTTCAAGTGATGGTAAAGACCATGGCCTGGATTAGGCACACTTTAGTCTCTAGACAGACATCGTTGCTTGTCAGTACTCTGGACTGTTGTTAGGTGCCATCAAATCGAGTATGACTCCTAGCAACCCTATGAACACCAGATCTGAGCCCTGTCCTCTGCCATCCCCCTTTTCTCTGACACCCTTGGGCACATTGCTGCAGTCACTGTGTCATTCCATCTCATCAAAGGTCTTCTTCTTTTGTGTTGACTCTGCCTTTCCAAGCATGACGTCCCTTTCCAAGGAATAGCCTCTCTGAGCAAATCTAGGGATGACAATATTGCTAGATGGCTAGATTTCAAGACATTTTCTTTAGCATTATTATCATTTTTCAAGATTTAAAGTTTCAGATCAACCCTAATGTTAACTTTAAAAAAAAAATAAACACAACATTGTTTCCCTGGCCTGAGTTCTTCATGTTGACAAGTGCATGAATGTTGACAAACACATGAATGAATCTCCTTGGAGATGGATGGAGACTTGGCCCAAAGGGATTGGGAGGGAATATTTGAGGCAGTCTGGAAGGATGGAGCAGCAGTCTGTAGTATGGAATGTGCATTGACTGGTAAACCAGTCTCTCTTTCTGTCCATAGTGTAGTGTCACATAGAATATGTAGACTCCTCCAAGTTCCAGCAATGCTATCCCTGCAGTGCAGCAGGGCTGGTTCGGAAAGAGCTGCATTCTGGGAGCCAGACAGGAGGACTGGGACTGTCAATGATTGTTCAGGCTGGAAAGGATGCTCCCTGGATAAGAGGCACCATTATTCCTACCTACAGATGAGGGAATCTGGAGCTCTCTGTGTCCCAAAATACCCAGCGTGAAAGTGACAGAGCTGGCCCTGGAATCCAGCCAGAGTTCTTTCTGTTTTTCCCCTGGGTCTAGGAGCAAGTGTGGACACAAAGGCTGTGTGGAAAGAGAGCTGACAGATTGGAGGGAGGGAAAGCAATGGGAATCGGTATGCGAGACCACATTGGTGGAAGCCACACATTTGAGTTTGAACTTGAAGGAGCAGGCAATGAGGAACACTTGTTGACTCAAAGAAATGAAAGCAGGGTCCTTAATGGCAATGAGGCTGGCTGGGTGTGCATGCTGGTATGGTCATGGAAGAGACGGGTCAGGCATATGGTAGGGTTAGCAGAGAGATCTTGTTCTGTCTGTTCAGAATGACACTCACTTCTACAAATCCTTCAGAACAGATCTCCCTCCATTTCTCATTCTAAGACTGGGATGACAGCTGCCTTGTTATGTACCCCCTCTCTCTGAAATGGCCACTGTTTGTTTCAGAGCTGGGCACCTGAAAGGAATTTTCCCCCGAAGGAGTGAATTTCAGTCCCTTTTCCTCCCATTTATTTTATTGCTGTTGCTGCTCAAAATAGACACAGTGATACATACACCAATTTGACATTTTCTACATAATGACCTTGGGTATGTTCTTTGAGTTGTGAAACCATGTTCATCTGCTTTTTCTGAGTTGTTTCTGCTCTCCTAATGTAAATTCTATGGCCCTGGAGATTCCTGTCTAATCTTTTGAATTGCTGTCATTAATTTGACACTATTTCGAACTATAGTGATATTTGCAGACCGATACTCACTACTCCCTTTCTAGCTAAGCTGGTCTAAGTTGAACTTTTGAAAAACTTCCACCCCTCCCCCCATTGATCAACAATAACAAAATCCTTGACATTCGTAGTAAAAGACATATCTATTTCTTACGCTTGTATTTTGAGCACTACCATCTTTGGAAAAAGACATCGTGCTTGGAACGGTGGAGGGTCAGGGAAGGAGAGGAAGACCCTCAAACAGATCAATCGACACAGTGACTGTCACTGGGCTCAAGTAGATCAGAAATGAGGAGGAGGCTCAAGATAGGACTCGACTCAGCTCCGTTGTTCACGGCGTCGCTATAAGTCTTCGTCAACTTGACAGCATCAATAACAAGAACAATATTCTCCGAAACATTCTCTTTCTGTGAACTTTCCCCCAAAATCACAATTAAAAAAAGAATAATGTGTGCACTGAGACCCTCAATGAGATGGATTGACTCGGTGACTGGGGTAATGGGGGTAGATGTGTCACAGACAATAAGCTTGGTACAGGACACAGCAGGGTTCAGAGCTGTTGTACATAGGGTCACTATGAGTCGCAGGTGACGCGATGGCACATCACAACAACAACCCAACACCAAAAACAAACACAAAACATTCTCAGGTTGTTTTAGGGACACTGGCCTCATTGGTATCTTGCATGTAAAACACAAAAGCTGTCATTTTTTTGGTGTCACTCAAGAGCTCTGGGCTCTCTCTAGGGACATGGCTTCAGAGGTCCCTTCAGAGGTGAACCGAGGTATCTCCATCGCTCGTGTAGTGAGTAAAATTGCTGCTCAGGACACTCTCCTGCCGGATCGACTGTGACTCGGACGAGGAGAAAGTCACACGGACGGGGTGGCCGCACAGGACAGCCAGACACTTCCTGTACAGATGCTGGAGGTACTTCCTGAACTTCTCCCCTGCAAACGCATAGATCAGGGGATTGAGACAGCAGTGACTGAAGGCCACCGTCTCGGTCACACTGGTGGCCAACCTCAGGCTCTTCCTCACGTCACAGCCGGGGAAGAAGTCGTAGCGTTTGAGCGTCTCTAGGAAAATCATGACATTGTAGGGCGTCCAGAAGAGGAAAAAGACGACCACCACGAGCACGATGAGCTTGATGGCCTTGGCTTTCTTGTGGTTCTTGCAGAAGCAGAGCGTCCAGATGATCCTGAAGTAGCAGTAGACCATCACGAGCAGCGGGAGCAGGAAGCCCAGGAGGTTGACCTCCAAGTGGCAGAGCACGGGCCACACCTCCCGGAGGACCTCGGGGTGGTCACCGAAGCACTCGCCTTCGTCCTGCTTGGTGAACATGAACTGCGGAGCGGCCACCAGAATGGCCGCGGCCCAGACGCTGAGGCTCACGGTGACGCCGTGCTGCACTGTCCGGCTCTGGAGGGAGTTGGCGGCCAGGACGATGGCCAGGTACCGGTCGATGCTGATGGCAGTGATGAAGAAGATGCCCCCAAAGAAGCCGATGAAGAAGAAGGCCGTCGTGAGCTTGCACACGGCGTGGTTGAAGCCGTGGCTGCTTAATACGTAGTGGATCCAGAAGGGCAGGGTGGCCACGAAGAGCAGGTCGGACAAGGCCAAGTTCAGGAGGTAAATGTCAGTGACGCTCTTGGGCTTCTGGCTGTGGGTGAGCGCGAGTACCACCAACACATTTCCCACCAGGCCAAAGACAAAGACAAGCGAGTAGAAGATGGGCAGGAAGGTGACCCCAAAGGCCACGATGTCCTCTTCAGGACACGCCTCGGCCTCCGGGTCATACTCATAGTATTCCAGAGTCGGCTCAGGGGAGAGGAGAGACATGACACGAAACCTAGGTCAGAAAGGAATAGAAATAAATTGATTCTCAGAGAATTTGGAATTACTAGAATAATTCTAAATTATTCACATTTGGAATTGTCTTCTTTTTCTTTTTTTTTAGTTTTATTATTTTGTGTGAGTGTACTGTCAAATCAGATCTGACTGGTACAGGAGGAGATTGTTCCTCCTTCTCCAGCAAAGCATCTGGTGGATTTGAACTGTGCACCTCTGGGATTGCAGTATGGAATTGTTTTCTTAAGCTTATTCATTCATTGTTGTATATTTTCTTCTATCCTCCCTCCTCACCTTCTCCCCCAGTCCACTTTGTAATGCACCCCTCGTTCCAGATGGTTATTGTACATATAATACCCAATCACGTTCTTTTTGTTCTTCCTCTTATCTGTTCCAATACAGTATTCATTGTCTATCCACGGTTTTCCTTATTCTCCCCCTAACCCTTCATAGCAGCCCTATTTTTTTTAAAAAAATTTTCTTTTTATTATTGTGTGTGTGTGTGTGTGTGTGTGTGTGTGTATGCGCGCGCGCACGTACCATCAAATCAGATCTGACTGGTACAGGAGGAGATTGTCCCTCCTTTCCCGGCAGAGCATCTGGTGGATTCGAACCGTGCGCCTCTGTGATTGCAGTTGCAGCTCCTTGCCACTAGGCCACCAGAGCTCCCCTATAGCAGCCCTATTTTATAACAGCAGGGTTATGTAGTATTCGTCCTTTTGTGACTGAGATATTTCACTCAGCATAGTTTCCTCCAGGCTCACCCATGTTGCATAATATTTCACAAGTTCACTGGTTTTTTTTAAGCTATTATTATTATTATTAATTTTAATGAAAATTTACAGAGACTTTTTATTTCTATTCTTTCATTGTTGCACTTTTCTCCCTGCCCACCCTTCCCCTCCAGTTCATCCTTCTCTTTGAAAAGTAAAAGAAAAATTCTTTCATTATTATACAATCCCTTCCCCTAAGTCCTCTCCACTGTGCAGCCTTCATTCTGGACTCATGTCATGACAATAATACCTAATCACATATCCCTTTTAAGCAGTTCTCTCTCTCTCATCTGTTTCAATGCCATATACATAATTTATCTCATCTGTCTCAGTCTCCCCTCAACCCCAATGTCAGTCCCATTTTACAACAGTGGCACTATGCACTATTCACAATAGCAAAGAGTTGGAAACAACCTAAGTGCCCATCAACAAATGAATGGATAGAGAAATTGAGGTATATTCACACAATGGAATACTATGCTGCATTGAAAGACAAGGAACTCATGAAATATTATTCAAAATGGACGACCCTAGAGGACATTATGCTGAGTGAAATATCTCAGTCACAAAAGGACAAGTTCGTTGTTTTTAATGCTGCGTAATATTCCATTGTGTGAGTGGACCAGAGTTTTTCTATCCATTCATTGATAGGCACTTGAGTTGCTTCCATCTCTTTGCTATTGTGAATAACAGTGCAATATAAATGGGTGAGTAAACATCTGAATGAGTCACAGCTCTGGTTTCTTTAGGCTATATTCCCATTAATGGAATTTCTGGTTCAAATGATTATTTCTACTTCCAACTTTCTGAGAAAGCACCAGACCACTTTTATAGTGGTTGTACCATTTTACATTCCCACCAGCAGTGAATAAGGGTTCCAATCTCTCCACAACCTCATCAGCATTTGTTATTTGCTGCCCGGTTGAACAATCCTATTGTTACTGGGTTGTGATACTATCTCATAGTTGTTTTGATTTGCACACCTTTGGAATTCTGTCAAGGCCTATACCTGTAGGAAGGTGGATAAAGAGAGATATTGGCTGGCTAGGGTGCCACTGTTTACTGACATTATCCTCAACCAGTGTATACAAGGGAGTGCTGATGGCATAGTCGATATAGAATGATGCTGCTAACCCAAAAGCTGAGCATCTCAGGAGTTAAAATCCACGAGGAGCTCCAATATGGAAAGATAGGCATGAGCCTCCACTGTGATTTATAGCCTCAGAATCCAAGGGAGCATCAGCCCTGGGCAGCTTCTGACTCAAGGGCAATGAGCGTCTCAGTGAGTGGAGAGAGTGCAGACTGCACTCAACTGGTGGTTTGGGGCTCAAACCACAGGAGTCCTGCAGAATAAAGGCCTGGCAATCTGTTTCTATTATCATTGCCCCAAAAATATTCTCTAGAGCAGTTCTGCTCTGTAATAAATGGAGTTTTGTGTTGTTGTTGTTGTTAATTGCTGTCAAGTTGAGCACAACTCATAGTGACCCTATGAACAAAAGACCTGAAGCCTTTCTATAACTATCATCATTTCTCCGCGTTCATAGAGTTTCCAGAGGCATATGGTTTAGGAAGTGGAGGTCACTCCTGCTTCCAAGCCTGTCTTAAACTGGGAGCTCTACCCAAACACTATACAAGTTATGGCATTTGATCCCTCAATGGCACAAAGTTCAGTGTCAGAGCAAACCTAGATTTCTTCAGTACAGCAAATTGACAGAAGAGTTCTGTACGACTTAGAGGAATGTCCCTCCAAAACGTAATAACTCTAGGCCTAAGGGCCACAACTTTTAAATACAAGGCTCCTCCATGAGGTCATAAGTGGGGTTTTAATGAATTAGAATTGGGACGGACTGGATGACAACTTACAACAGCCACTGAACCAACGCGTTCCCCAGCATCACACACTCCACCTTGTTTAATCCTCGGTGCTATTTTATGTTGATGGCTATAGCAGACTCGTTTGACAGAAGAGGAAACCAGATCTCTGGAGGCTCAGTGACTTGCCCAAAGTCACACATGAGGTGGTTCAGTTCACATGAGAATCTAAGCTAACATTGCCTCTTTTAATTTTTTACTTTCAAGTCATCCCAAGAAAGTAATGAGGCAAGACCAGGAAGGCTAGATTAACGGAAACAGAACAACCAGCATGAAAATAGTAAGAATGCCAACATATTGTAGAAAATGCAACCAAGGTCATGGAACAATAGGCATTGTTGTTGTTGTTGTTGTTAAGTGCTGTTGAGTCATAGACCACTCGTAGCAACCCTATGAATGAAAGATCTGAACACTTGTATAACTTTCATGGTGTCAAATGCAATAATGGTTACCCACGGTGGATAGTGTTTGGTGGAGCTGCCTGATTAAAACAAGCTTGGAAGCAGGAGTGGCATCCACTTCCGTAATAGCTTGCCTCTGGAAATTCTATGAACTTGGAGAAACAATAGGTATAAAAATTGTTAAATGAAAACGTAATCTGCTATATAAACTTTCACCAAAAAACAATGAAATATCACATATTCCCTAAAGCTTGCTGGCTTGACTAGCCTGTGGACAAAAGGAGGGAGAGCCGTGAGCAAACGTTGCTGCCGAAATATGCATTTTTTCCCTACTAACTTTCCTCAAACAATTCTCCAACTCTTTCCCCTTTATTTCACTTCCTCCGCTCTCTGGCCCTCATTAGAGAAATACTTCACACGCTCTCCTCAAGCCCTCAGCAGACCAACCCCCAGGAACCCTCATCTTTGTTTTCTGAGACTCATTTCTTTTCTCTTGAGACCAGCAAATCCTCCCCTTCCTTAAACAGACACAGATTAATCAGTTACAGTGTCAGGATTTATAAAGTGAATGCTTGTTCTGGTTTACCCAGAATTCTTATGCTAAAAATCTCACATTCCAGAACCCTTCCAAGTGTATTGCCATCAAATCAGTTGTATCTTATGGTGTCGCCTTCTGTTAGAGGTCAATATTGTTCCACAGAGCTCTGGTGGCCTGGTGGCAAGGAACTGCACTGCCAACCCAAAAGTACACAGTCCGAAACTACCAACTGCTTTTTGGGAGAAAAATGGGCAGCCTCCTTCCATGTGATTTACTGCCTCTGAAAACCCTCTGGAGGGTCAACTATGCATCATTTCTGACTCAAGGGTACACAACAACAAACTGCTCCATGAAGTTTTCTTGACCATGATTTTATGAAGCAAAATACTGGAACTTTCTTTAGTAGATCTACTGGGTGGATTTGAACCTCTATGCTCTAGGCTAACATAACAGCTGCTCACAACTGCTTACACTACCAGGCTCTCAGAAGTCCCTCAGTTCCTCACAAAGTGAGCGGAGCATCATCCTGTACCAATGAGTTGGACTGGAAAGAAAGTGCCACCATCGTCCAGCACTGAGGAGTCCAGGTGAAGGTCTGTGCCCAGCTAGCCATCTGCGATGGGTCTTTGGTGACTCCTTGATGCAGTAATCACCAACTGTGCCCTTCATTTTAGTTTGACCTTGCCTGTCTTATCTCTAGTGTCTTCCTGAGCAGGACTTGAATAAGAGGACATTGCCACATGCCTGTTGGGGGTATAAAAGCCGTCCCACTCTACCTCTCTTCTCAGTCTGGCTGTTCTTTTAACCCCAGGGCTGTTCACACTGAGCAGCGCCTCCTCATACTAGAAACAGAGAGATCACCAGAAACCCGGAGTGTACGCAGAGTTGACACTGCCTCCCTCTCTGCCACAACTAAAACCAAAACTCACACTTACTTAACCAAGGGAGTTTTCACACCTTGCTGAGATAGACTGTCAATTAGGGCCACGGGCATAAACATCAGAGTTTCCCCACCTCGACTTGTGGGCAGCGTGAAGACCCACCCAGCTGGGGCTTAGCTGCTCCTTGCCGGACCTCTGACACATGCCTGGGTCCATCTCCACATCCCACTTTGCTCTTTCTGGATGAAATGGTCCAAAGTTCTCCAATCTTGACGAACCAGCACTGCAAGGGAGTTCTCAAGGCCAAATCTCATGCTGTCCTTGTTCTAGGCTGTATTGTCCTTCTTCACGGAGAGGATGGTTGGGTTGTGACCTTAATCAGTAATATTTGAATTGAACCACATGATAGTCAACTGTTTCTGAGCTCCAACAATGTCAATTCCATGTGGTTCAAATTGATTGACAGATTTGGAGAGGGAGCGTTGTCATTTAGTGCATGTAGCATATTGCAGAGGCTTTAATCTTT